AAAAAAAGGGACATGTAAAAATTCATGACATTTAATAAACAAAAGAAAAAAAAACTATTTAAAAGGATTTGCCAAAAACCCAATTTAAAGGATTTTCTTACATTTGCAGTAAAGAATCAAAATGACTTGTAATACTGCCCATATACCACTCTGCCGCCATGGGACCAGTTCAATAAAACACGCTGCTTTTTATTATTGTGTATTATGTACTTTACAATTTAATTTACTGAAGAGGCAAAATAATCCGCCTGGTAAGTATACCAGTTACTAGAACTCCGCAATGCGGAGCTCTGAAGCTTTTAACTTTTTCAAATAAAAGCTTAAAGTGACATTAAAGTCAAAAATGGTTTTCCCTCCCCCCAATGTTGATGTCAGCACTTACCTTAAATGAGGTTTCTTAATCCGATCTTCTTCTTTCCTAATGTCTTTATCTGTCCCTCCAGCGGTGTGGCGGCTCTCCGATCCAGCGCCGACTCCTCCCTGCTTGCAGGCACTTCTGATCCAGCGGTGTCTGCATGCGGATGCACGCTTCCATAGACTTACCTTGCGTCTCTGCTCGTCTCCCACCTGAGAATCTGAACTGCGCAGGCGCCCGACCCAAGATGCTATGCGGTCGCCCGAGCAGTTTCGGATTCTCGGGCAGGAGCGCGCAACAAAACAAGGTAAGTTTAAACCGCTGTTAAAGCGGGTTTTCAAAAAAGAAACAACTTTTTGCCTATATCTACATTGGCGACGTACACTGTACGTCGTCAGTCACGAAGGGGTTAAAGTGTATTTCCACGCATGGTCATATGACCTGCAAGAATGAATAAAACTATTTCGTTTTGAAGAAAACACATTATATGGTGCATCTCGGTCAGGAGTGCAATGGGACTCTCCATTTCCCTCCCTATGTTTGGTATGTGTTCCTACTCACACAGCATACCTAGAAATATATATATACATATATATTTCTCACCGTTAAAGTTGACCTTTACCCCCTTTCACTAAAAATCACCTCAGTATGCCGATATAAAACCATCTTACATTCATTAGTTGAACATATTTTTCTTTTACATACAAATATTGTTTTTCGCCCTCTTGGGCATTAGTGATGCAGTCTGCGCCCAAGCATTGCATCCTGGGAAGGTTACATCAGCAGAGCATTGCTGGGAAATCTCCTCTATAATCTCACGAGGTCTCAGGGAAAGGCATTTTCCTCCCCAGAGATGATGATGTGCATGGTGACAGGTCCTAGTCACATGTGCCAGAGTTCCAGGAAGTAAAGGGAGATATATTAATCTGCCATTAGTAAAAAATGGCCGCCGTGAGAAGAATGGGGAGGAAAATAGAAATAAGGTATGAAAAAAATAAAAAGCCGGCAATTATCTAGAAGTATGTGTTTGTAGAATGTCATTACTAAACAGCTCTGAAATGACAACAAATACATCTTCAAAAGATAAGAGTGAGGTTCCTCTTTAAGATGTTTCTCTGGAGCAGGATTATATATAGGACACTACAGGCAGCTTCTGTTGCTTAGGTTAGATGTGTAGATAAGGTACAGACTGAGGGACAGTTTTTAAGTACATTAACCATTTTGTACCAACCAAGCCTTGAGATCTTTAATCCTTTGTTAAGACACACAGGGTGGGATTTATCAACACCAGAGCAGACACAATCGGGAGCAGTTCCCCATAGTAACCAAAGACCTTCTCTTTTTAGTTTGTACAGTTACGTTTATAAAAAAAAAAACTGACCCCCGACCTCTGCTGGAATCCTGTTCCAAGTCTGATATGTGTCAGAAAGTAGATGCAAAGAACTGCTCCAAGGCTCAGTCTATGGCCTCACCAGCCGTGGGTGCTTAGGCCCTTTGAGGATCGCATCTTCCCCTAGTAGTACTTCTTACATAAAAAGGATGGGCTGCAGCGCTGCTGTTTCTTCTCAACAAAGCTTTATTGTTCCATGGACATCAACATTCTACCAGACGCAGGCTCCTCCTCAGACGCCAGAGGAGATCAACAACTGGCTCTAATTTCAGTGGAGAAGCTGACACTGGCCAACCCATCTCTACAAGGAAACACTGACACTTCAGTTCTATAGTATTTAATAGGGATGCCCCGATACCGATACTAGTATCGGTATCGAGTATTTGGGCGGGTATTTCGTACTTGCCCAAATGTTCTTGGTGCCTATCCTGATACCGGAACTTCCAGTATCAGGAAGCCAGGCGGTGATTCTTTACACACTGCCCGGCTTCCCGATTGGTCGGGAAGCTGGCTCCATGCTTCCTCTTCACCAGGGAGCATGGAGCAGGCTTCCCGACCAATCAGGAAGCTAGGGGGCAGGTAATGACTCCAAGTGACGAGGGAGCATGGAGCCGGCTTCCTGGCCAATCAGGAAGCTGGGCACGATTTAATTACTCGCAGCCCAGCATACTGATTGATCAGAAAGCTGGCTAATCAGGAAGCCAGGCGGCGATTCATTACCTGCCCCCTAGCTTCCTGATCGGCCAGAAAGCAGGCTCCATGCTTCCTCATCACCTGGTGACAAGGGAGCATGAAGACTGTTTCCCGGCTAATCGGGAAGCCAGGCGGCGAGTCATTACATGCCACCCGGCCTCCTTAATGGGACTTCTGGTATGGCATTGGCGAGTACTGAAAGAAAAAAAAAAATATTGGTACTCGTACTCCATAACGAAACTGGTATCGGTTCATCTCTAGTATTTAAGTCACAAAGCAGACATATGGAACACCATCCAGTTTTTATTACAATTCATACGGCTTGGGCTTAGCAGGAGAGACCTTTTTACCCCTGAAACGCGTACCCTACTTAAATCAATGAACATTTCATAGCAATCATTGAGCTACATGACTGTTCTTACTATGCCCTCCTAACCCCCTAACCTCACACTCAAAGAAGGTCTCTAACACATTCAGATGGGGGTTCTCTGTATACAGGACACATTCAGAGGGGGTCCTCTGTATACAGGACACATTAAGAGGGGGTTCTCTGTATACAGAACACATTCAGAGGGGGTCCTCTGTATACAGAACACATTCAGAGGGGGTCCTCTGTATACAGAACACATTCAGAGGGGGTTCTCTGTATACAGAACACATTCAGAGGGGGTTCTCTGTATACATAAAAGAACACATTCAGGGGGGGGTTACCTGTATACACCAGAACACATTCCGAAGGGGTTACCTGTATACACCAGAACGCATTCAGAGGGGGTTACCTGTATACACCAGAACGCATTCAGAGGGGGTTCTCTGTATACAGAACGCATTCAGAGGGGGTTCTCTGTATACAGAACGCATTCAGAGGGGGTTCTCTGTATACAGAACGCATTCAGAGGGGGTTCTCTGTATACAGAACGCATTCAGAGGGGGTTCTCTGTATACAGAACGCATTCAGAGGGGGTTCTCTGTATACAGAACGCATTCAGAGGGGGTTCTCTGTATACAGAACGCATTCAGAGGGGGTTCTCTGTATACAGAACGCATTCAGAGGGGGTTCTCTGTATACAGAACGCATTCAGAGGGGGTTCTCTGTATACAGAACGCATTCAGAGGGGGTTCTCTGTATACAGAACGCATTCAGAGGGGGTTCTCTGTATACAGAACGCATTCAGAGGGGGTTCTCTGTATACAGAACGCATTCAGAGGGGGTTCTCTGTATACAGAACGCATTCAGAGGGGGTTCTCTGTATACAGAACGCATTCAGAGGGGGTTCTCTGTATACAGAACGCATTCAGAGGGGGTTCTCTGTATACAGAACGCATTCAGAGGGGGTTCTCTGTATACAGAACGCATTCAGAGGGGGTTCTCTGTATACAGAACGCATTCAGAGGGGGTTCTCTGTATACAGAACGCATTCAGAGGGGGTTCTCTGTATACAGAACGCATTCAGAGGGGGTTCTCTGTATACAGTTATACACCAGAACACATTCAGAGGGGGTTACCCGTATACACCAGAACACATTCAGAGGGGGTTACCCGTATACACCAGAACACATTCAGAGGGGGTTACCCGTATACACCAGAACACATTCAGAGGGGGTTACCCGTATACACCAGAACACATTCAGAGGGGGTTACCCGTATACACCAGAACACATTCAGAGGGGGTTACCCGTATACACCAGAACACATTCAGAGGGGGTTACCCGTATACACCAGAACACATTCAGAGGGGGTTCTCTGTATACAGAACACATTCAGAGGGGGTTCTCTGTATACAGGACACATTCAGAGGGGGTTCTCTGTATACAGAACACATTCAGAGGGGGTTCTCTGTATACAGAACACATTCAGAGGGGGTTCTCTGTATACAGAACACATTCAGAGGGGGTTCTCTGTATACAGGACACATTCAGAGGGGGTTCTCTGTATACAGGACACATTCAGAGGGGGTTCTCTGTATACAGAACACATTCAGAGGGGGTTCTCTGTATACAGAACACATTCAGAGGGGGTTCTCTGTATACAGGACCCCTATAGGTAGTCACCAAGAAATGAAGAAACTGTCCGTATAGGAATTGTAAATGTCCACAAATTGGAGGTTTGTTTTATAAAATATACAACTCCTGGACACAACCTATACAGTTTTCTGATCTGAAGCGTATGTAAAAGTTGCCAGTCTGATCATAGTTCAGGATCAATCATTAGTAGAAGATGAGTCATAGTTCAGCTTGAAGACTGCCTGGCCCTTTCATCAATATACTAGGCAGTGTCTGGAAGGAAATGCAGCGATAAGGGAGGTACAGGGAAACCCAGACCATTATCCTAAACATTAACCCAGCTAGAAACAAACACGCCTCACTCCGGTGACATTCAATTGTGGTAAAGAGAACCTGTGCCCAGGTCAAAAAACAAAACCCATCACATCTCTGCCTCTGGGGGTCATGCCTGTGGCGGTCAGAGTTTTGCAATGCTTCATGGGACTTGTAGTTCCACAACAGCTGGAGGGTTGAGGTTGCCTACCCTTGCCTTATGTTAGTTGGCCATTGTCTTACCTGGCCCTAGTATGTGTGTATTAGTCTTAGGCCCCATTCACATGGGGACACATACCCCGTTCTGGGATTCCTGCAGCAAGAACCTACGGATTAATGCAGTAAGAATCCCAGGTATCCCGTTCAGATGTGTCCGCAATACCCATTGAAGTTGATGGCAGGCTGCATCTGTCAGTGGCATTCCGCATGCAATCATGCATGGTATAATTACCTGTGTTTGTGGATGTATGATTGACCTCGGGACGGATGCTCTATCCTGCGTCCAGCGACAATCATCTTTCCCAAGCCACATAATATACCATGTGACACTCTGGTTAGTAGCAAATGCAGCTTTGGTGCGCCGTTCATTGATGGGGACCCAGAAAAAGTAAGGTTTTGGAGGTGAGAAGTTCACCATAGATCTCAACGTGGTCATGGTGGTAGGAATGGGAGAGGAAGCAGAGGCACATTCGAGACACCACGGTAGTAGGAATGGGAGAGGAAGCAAAGGCACATAGGAGACACCACGGTAGTGGGAAGGGGAGAGGAAGCAAAGGCACATCGGAGACACCACGGTAGCAGGAATGGGAGAGGAAGCAGAGGCACATTCGAGACACCACGGTAGCAGGAATGGGAGAGGAAGCAAAGGCACATAGGCAAAGGCGCATCGGAGACACCACGGTAGTAGGAAGGGGAGAGGAAGCAAAAGGCACATCGGAGACACCACGGTAGTAGGAATGAGAGAGGAAGCAAAAGGCACATCGGAGACACCACGGTAGCAGGAAGGGGAGAGGAAGCAAAGGCGCATCGGAGACACCACGGTAGCAGGAAGGGGAGAGGAAGCAAAGGCGCATCGGAGACACCACGGTAGTAGGAAGGGGAGAGGAAGCAAAGGCGCATCGGAGACACCTCGGTAGCAGGAATGGGAGAGGAAGCAAAGGCACATGGGAGACACCCCAATGATGGCAGTCTGGAGCTGGGATGTGCCGACATTATCTGAAACTGAGATCTATACACGACTCTCCATCACCTGTATTTTTATAGCGCCAAAAATGTACACAGCGCTTTACAGACTATTTATTCACATCGGCCCTCAACGAGCTTACAATCTGAGGTCCCTATCTCACATGCATATTAGGGGCAATTTAGATAGGAGCCAAAGAACCTTCAAGCATGTCTTTGGAGTGTGGGAGGAAAGCAGAGTACCCGGAGGAAACCCACGCAAGCACAGGGGGAACATGCAGACTCCATGCAGGTAGGGTGCCGTCTAGAATTCGATCCGGGGACCCCCAGTGCTGCAAGTCCAACCGCTAAGCCACTGCTCTCCTTTATTCACATACACCTGTCTCCTGTACAGGGATACATGCATGGCTTCTGTGTGTATGGTAAAAACAGAGACATTCCTCCAGTCACTTCAGTGGGAAGTGTGTGCGGGTGAAGTGGTCAGGGTAGTTTCTGTGTTAACCCTTCGCACAGATAGGAAAGAAGCTTCTTTATTTCCTCATTCTGGAGCTAGTGAGGGGGCAATGTGCAGCTAAGTTTAAGCAGCTGTCCTGAATGTGCACCAGGTAAGTCCTCACACTGTATAGATGTATGTAATTCTATATGGGCGGTTTAGGTATGCCCTCACATTGTATATGTATGTAATTCTACATGGACGGTTCAGGTATGCCCTCACACTGTATAGATGTATGCAGTTCTATATGGTCGGTTTAGGTATGACCTCACACTGTATAGATGTATGCAATTCTATATGGGTGGTTCAGGTATGCCCTCACACTGTATAGATGTATGCAGTTTTATATGGTCGGTTTAGGTATGCCCTCACACTGTATAGAGGTATGTAATTCTATATGGACGGTTCAGGTATGCCCTCACACTGTATAGATGTATGTAATTCTATATGGACGGTTCAGGTATGCCCTCACACTGTATAGATGTATGTAATTCTATATGGACGGTTCAGGTATGCCCTCACACTGTATAGATGTATGTAATTCTATATGGACGGTTCAGGTATGCCCTCACACTGTATAGATGTATGCAGTTCTATAAGATATTGTACTTTGAGAAAAGCTGCACACTGCTTACCACTGGCCGGGAAAAGTGGTCCTCTGAGACCCCCAGATCCATCACTCTGTCTGCGTTGCGGAATTCGGGTTCAGGACGAGGAGGGAATCTTGGCAGGAAATCTGGAAGAAAAAGAAGAAAGAGGTTTTGGTCAAAATTCTAAAAAAAACTGTCAAAGTTGTCTTGGTCAAAATGGCTGAGCGAATAGCAATGATGGATGGAGTGATCCCTAGCAGCCAATCAGCTGTCACCTTACTGTAGACAGTGTGAAAAGATGACTTCTGATTGGTCAGATGTGGTTTGCACTGCCATAGTAATTAAAGCCGCCTCTTCAGATTTGGGCCAGGGAGTGTTCGTGATACAAGATCACAGCGGGCCAATGAGTCCAACCAAAGCAGTACAGATGTCAATTGAGGGACAAGGAGGCGGGCCGGTGACCAGTCACTGCAGTGCAATGTAGACTAGCAGCAGAGGTCGGTCACCGTAACAGGAAGTAGTGATGGAAACAGTCCCTTCAACATTCATGTTGTAAGTCCCACCTGTTCCCATCTTACAAACCTTTTGAAGGCACCGGCTCTCCGTCCTCACAGGACTCCTCTTCTCTGGCTTTATTGAAAGGGTTGAGATGACCCTGGCGGAACCTGGCCAGCTTGTCATTGTATTCCATATCCAGTCACCCTAAAAGACACAGGACACGGGAGCTCACACAAGGACCGAACCATCACGCTTGGGTACCACAGTGCCCACCTCACCACCCCCAGTGGAAACAGAGGTCAGCGTTATAACATGGAAAGGGAACTGCTGATTAAAAGCTACATGCAACCTGAGGAAACAAAACATGGTGTCCGGTCTCTTTAAATCTGACCTCCGGCCTTCCCCTTCAGTCTTCTATCAGACCTCCGGCCTTCCCCTTCAGTCTTCTATCAGACCTCCGGCCTTCCCCTTCAGGCTTCTATCAGACCTCCGGCCTTCCCCTTCAGGCTTCTATCAGACCTCCGGCCTTCCCTTTCAGGCTTCTATCAGACCTCCGGCCTTCCCTTTCAGGCTTCTATCAGACCTCCGGCCTTCCCTTTCAGGCTTCTATCAGACCTCCGGCCTTCCCTTCAGTCTTCTATCTGACCTCCGGCCTTTCCTTAGTCTTGCACGATTGTACCGGCTCCTCTACTGGACTGAAATGGCTTCCTCTGATATCACTGCAAGCTCCTCACCATCTGCATTAGAAGCTGCAGCAAGTCAGACAGAGCCCGCCTCTTCCTGTTTCTTCCCCAGTCTGACTGTCCCTGGCCCACCCCTTTCATTTATTAGTTTTCAGCCCTGTCAATCATGGAGGTTCAGAGTCTCATGAAAGCATTACCTGGAGTGGTCTGCATGCAAATCTAGCTTGCCTAGGAATGGCCACTCCTCCAGACTGACACCAACCCATGAAAGCATTGAGATATTTGCATAACTCCTCCCAAAAGCAAGCACACTGCCTGCATCAGGGTGTTCCATCAAAGATTGTGACTGGGTTGGAATGTGTGACCGGTCACACATTTTAACGGAATCCCGCCCAGTTTATCGGCGGTGGAATATGTGACCGGCAAAAGGAGAAGAATTCCAAGGCTTTGTCAGCTGTTCCAGGGCAGATCGGCATTGCAGATGGTATGTGACGGATAACCGATCTGCCCTGGAACAGCTGAGAAAGCCTTGGAATTCTTCTCCTTTTGCCGGTCACATATTCCACCGCCGATAAACTGGGCGGGATTCCGTTAAAATGTGTGACCACGTGACCGGTCCCACATTTCCCAGGCGAAAAAATTGGGCGGAATTACAAAGTCGGATAGAAGTGACATTTCCGGACCGATCAGCTGTTCCAGGGCAGGCCAATTCTCCTACACATACGATCTGCGATGCCGATCTGCCCTGGAACAGCTGAAAAAAAGCCTTGGAATTTTTCTCCTTTTGCCGGTCACATATTCTACAGCCGAAAAAGTGGGTGGGATTATGTTAAAATGTGTGACCACGTCACCGGTCACACATTATAACGCAGTCACAAACTTTGATAGAACACAGGGCTGACAAAAGTACTGAGGTGCTGTGATGTGTTCTGTAAGCTATGTACAGCACCCTGCCAGCTCCTCCCACCAGCAATATCTGCCTGCATGGCACAGAGAGCCAGTGATGACATCATTGGGTCTAATATCAGGTATGTAATAAAAGCAGGAATGTAAACATTACACATTGATGAGAGGGAAAGGAGGGAAAGTACAAGAAGGTTAACGTTTAAACCTTTAAATAGGAGTTTTCAGGGGCCCCGGGGCCAGGGGTAGGGGGCAGGGATAAAACCATCAACCTTATGATGCCAGCTATGCAACAGACCACAGCAGCCCTACTACACACCTATACTGAGGTACATACCACGGCCGCCATTACTGGCCACGTCTAGGAATCCTAGTCCCCTGGCTTCTATTCCCCCCGAGTCACTGAGCCGGAAGAAGCACTGAGAGTAGAAAGTCCAAAACTGCATTCTTGTTCCAGGTCGGCGCCTCAAAACGTACTGAAGCCAGAGGATCACCATGGCAGCCAATTGTTAGGATTGGAGGTCAGTCAAATATTTTCCACTTCCAGTTCTGAACATTAACCATCAAGGTGATGTGCTGGCATCCACGCTCTCCCGTGGTGAGGGGCTGGCATCAACGCTCTCCCGTGGTGATGGGCTGGCATCAACGCTCTCCCGTGGTGATGGGCTGGGAGAATCTATCCCAATTCCTCATCTGAGCTCACACTGGGCAATTCTGTTGGCTATCTATAGACCAGGGACCTTTCCATATCTGACCCCATACGGCCAGACACGGTGACCCCATACAGCCAAGCTCCATGCAGACATGTTGCCACACCAAGCTCCATGCAGACATGTTGCCCCACCAAGCTCCATGCAGACCTGTTGCCACACCAAGCTCCATGCAGACATGTTGCCACACCAAGCTCCATGCAGACATGTTGTCACACCAAGCTCCATGCAGACATGTTGCCACACCAAGCTCCATGCAGACATGTTGTCACACCAAGCTCCATGCAGACATGTTGTCACACCAAGCTCCATGCAGACATGTTGTCACACCAAGCTCCATGCAGACATCAAACCAGCTGACAGAGCAAACATACAAATCACCATAATAATAATAATCTTCATATGATCCAGCACTTCTCTGCAGTGCTCGGCTCTATGGCTTGTGTGCTGCGGATCTCCTTCCCCTCTTACCTCGGCATGTCCAGCCTGTCACCCCCGGGGCCTCTCCAGCCAGGAGCGGCCTTCCTCCGGTACCCAACCGCTTTGACCCCCCTCCCAGCTGTCTCCGGTGATCACACAGGACAGGCCGCTCACATCGCCGGCCGCTGCACCGACCCGGCTCCGCCTATGACAGCTCCCTCCTTCCCCATACCGCCATCTTGTGGCAGACTGAGTGTACTGCAGGCCGCTATTTCAGGAGGATGATATAACAATTTTCTGGCGTTATATAAAGACAGTGAAGCGACTGCTTGCACTTCACAGCTCATCACAATGCTTCATCCCTATGACTGAAGAGTCATAGTATGAAAAGCAATTGTCTCATTTATACCTATATATACCATCTTACCGATATACACCCTGAACCTATACCATCTATGGATATAGCATCTTACCTATATACACCCTGTATACCTATACCATCTATACTTATACCATCTTACCTATATATACCCTGTATACCTATACCATCTATACTTATACCATCTTACCTATATATACCCTGTATACCTATACCATCTATACTTATACCATCTTACCTATATATACCCTGTATACATATATCATCTATACTTATACCATCTTAGCTATAGATACCATGTATACCTATACCATCTATACTTATACCATCTTACCTATATATACCCTGTATACATATATACACCATCTTACCTATATACACCCTGTATAACTATATCATCTATACTTATACAATCTTACCTATATACACCCTGTATACCTATATCATCTATACTTATACCATCTTACCTATATATACCCTGTATACCTATATCATCTATACTTATACCATCTTACCAATATATACCCTGTATACATATATCATCTATACTTATACCATGTTTCCTATACATACCCTGTATACATATATCATCTATACTTATACCATCTTACCTATATATACCATGTATACCTATACCATCTATACTTATACCATCTTACCTATATATACCCTGTATACATATATCATCTATACTTATACCATCTTACCTATATATACCATGTATACCTATACCATCTATACTTATACAATCCTACCTATATATACCCTGTATACATATATACACCATCTTACCTATATATACCATGTATATGTATACCATCTATACTTATACCATCTTACCTATATATACCCTGTATACATATATCACACCATCTTACCTGTATATACCCTGTATACATATATCATCTATACTTATACCATCTTACCTATATATACCCTGTATACCTATATCATCTATACTTATACCATCTTACCTATATATACCATGTATACATATATCATCTATACTTATACCATCTTACCTATATATACCCTGTATACATATATCATCTATACTTATACCATCTTACCTATATATACCATGTATAC